CTCTTCAAGGTTTCGCTCGCTTTTAGCTTTAAAACCTCTTGAGCCCCATGCAAAATCATATTTTTTTGCTTTCTTTGTTAACCAGCTTTTGGGTTTTAAAGACTATGGTCTTAAACTTTTGATCAGCTAAAAAAATCATGTTTGAGTGTAAATGCAGTTTTCAGAAAATTCCCTGCTCATAAGTTCTTGTCTCTTGCACTGATTTCTTCTTTTAACATTGTGAAGCTCTACTTAGAACCTTCTTAAGATCCAGTAGTGCAAAATGCAAATTCTTGCACTTTTTTGACCGGTCTTAAGATTTAATCTGAAACATTTTTGTGAGGTCAGTTTAGAATGTTTTCATCAAATATTTTTAAATTATTACATTTTCATAAATTTGAATTGTCAATTTTGAATGTAATGAGCTACACCCCAGTAGGCCTGTTCACAGAAGATGTCCTCTGTGTGACCATAAAGAGCATGTCCACTAAAACATCTCCAGATTCTTCAGGGAAAACCCCTGACCTTATAGTCCTCAGATGTCTTTTCATTAGTAGGCATGGGTACCCAATAAAAAGACCCTCAAAGCACTCCTTCAGTTGTCAACAATGATGTCATACGTRCATGCCCAAGTTTTTGTTTCTGCAACCACAGAAGCTGCAGCAGTTCAGGCCTAAACGTGTCAGCTGTTTAAGGGACAAGCCCAGCCCTAACAGCTCAACCAGTGTCATCTGTGCTAAAGCCTATCAAGGGTTGGCCCCACGTCAGGAACTAACATCTTTCAGACCATGTTGGAAGCTACATCTGTAACAGACACCTTCAACAAGTCACTTTCAAATATTATTTACCCAGCTTCCATCAGGAGACATGAAAATTTCACCCAGAGGTAGAAAGATCTCTCCCTCACCACCAGGTGGTGATCATTTCACAGTTCTACCCCTCCCAGGTACATGAGGCTGAAATGAGCTTTTTCTATAGAGCAGGTGGTGGGAGATCAAAAATGATGCCTCTTGAACTCCTCCTTTTTTTGGAGATTTTTATTTCACAGCCCACTTAGAGACCCAAGGGCAGATCCTAAACTTACTGGAGAGACGATATTTTCCTTTTGGCTCGTGAACGTCTTGGTATCAACCCATCCAGGAGGATCTGGAGCTGAGGAAAGAGGGATGTCCGGGTTTCCCTTTCCGGACCTGTTACTCTTTGACTCAACCCTCAGACAAGCAGGAAGAACCAGCATCAGCTACAACCTCAGAAAGAAGAGGATCAATGTGACGTTGCTCAGCAGTTATGAGCTCTTCTACGTGCTCTCCTGGTTCTGAGCACATCACACGCAGGGGTGGGGGCAGTGTTATCAAGTTGACTGACAGTATGAGGGGATGATGTGCTTCTTTTGTGTGTCCGTGAAGCCCTCAGACACACATGGGAGAGAGTGGGAAGGCACAGGTGCATTACAGTTTTTGATTGTTTTGACGCAGCTGTCAACTGTAGGCCGTCAAGGCACTGACTGTGCCAAAACATTTAAAATATGGAACAAAAGCAAATTTTGCCTTCAAACAACTCAACTTTGACACAATGTATGAGCACCTCCAATCAATCAGTACACAATGGGCAACAAAATACAAAATACAGCACTCGTGTGTGAATCAGTGCACCAATGCTTGTCATTGTAGCCTATGACTGTAGCTTACATGCCAGTGCCGTTTATAGTCAAAGTTGCCCTCTTGCAAAAAAAAAAAAAAATGCATCCAGAAGCAAATATGATTTGATGCAAATTTTATTGATTACATTCTTTTTTTCAGACTGTGCCTCAAAAATGAAATATTCCAACAGAGAATACATAGAAATAAAAATAAAATAATTTGCTGTGTGAGAAATTAGGTAAATAAAAAACAGTTTTACAGTAAAGAACAAAAGTCTATTGTAGGCCTAAACTATAAGAGTATAAGACAGGAGTGGGCAATCCTGGTCCTCGAGGGCCGCAGCCCTGCATGTTTTACTTGCTTCTCTGCTCCAACACACCCGATATGAATGAATATGTGATTATCAGGCTTCTTGCAGTATAATTCGAAATGAAAGCATAAATATATAAATGAACCACTAAATAAATACTTTTAAAATGCATCAATTAAAAAACAAAGGAGAACTTTATCTCATGTTTGTTTGAAATGACTTTAATATTTATTTTTCCAGGTTAGTTTCAATAAATTAGTCTATAT